TCTGGTAGTTCGACACATCTTGAACAGTTACTGAGTTTGGGTATCGTTCGTTCCATGACTGACCCTGCTGTGGACTCCTTTCCGGCTGCGGCCACATTTGTGGCTGGTACTGTCCCAAGATAGCAGGATCCATTGAAGGCAAAGCCGGCTGGTAGGAGGGCTGCAGACTGTAGGACTGGAGAGGCAAGTCGGCGAGGTTGTCTTCGAGTGCAAAACCATTACTACCAGCGTGTAGATCCAAGCATTGCTCGTCATCGTCGACGTCTGGATATCCATGATAAGGCCGCCTCGCATACGAAGAGCGCCGATATTGCTCGTGTGAACCCATCCTATCTCCGACTTTCGTCAAGATGGTGATTTCAAAAGGAAGTTGACACAGCACGTTTTGAGATCTGCCCTAGGGGTCGTTTCGCGGTGTTCGATGTATGCCAACAAGAATTGACGGGTTGCGATGCGGTTTGGGGGCCGGTGCAATTGCCAAGCCGCTTACTTGAGGTCGCAGGGTGCGAGGAGAAGACACCAGTCCGATGAACGATTGGAGATGGAAAGATAAGGGGGCGACGAAGTACCGAGCCCGTCCAATGATGTCGACGTCTTAACGTCAGGTCGAGAGCCTCGTCTGCTTCACGTCGTGTGGTCGTTAGGTCTGTACACGGCAGTGATGGGCACGGATTCGAGTTGTCCACTAAAGAGGAGGTATAGAAGAAGGTGTGTGGTTGTTGTTTGTTGGCCTCGCTGCGTCGGAGCCGTCGTCGTTGAAGCTGATGAGCCCGAAGTTGACGAGCCAGTAGAGGTGCAGTGGGAAGGCCCTTCGTGATACGGCCGGTCTTTCGAAGAGCTTTGCTTGTTGAGGTTCTGTTCCTTAAGCCCAAGACTCCGCTCGGCAACGGTGTGGTCGCTCGTTGCTTGCAGCAACCTTTGTTTTGGACTCGAGGACGATCGGCAGGTATGGGAAGCGAAGTGCGTGGACTTGCAGTTGACCGAAGGCTTGCAAGAGGAGGAGGTTAAGAGGAGGCGTGACGGTCGTATATGGAGGGGGCATACGGATGATATGTGCTCGGATCTTGTTCCTGCTGGAGGACTACCGTACGACGATCGGACACACTATGCAGTTAGCCCAAGACGTACATCAAGCCGAGTCATGAATAGGTACGTCGGTACTATGGACAACGCAAAACGTCTCTAGTGGAACGAAACAGTCCTTCTGAGGTTTGGTGTGGCTCTGCGACAACATGGATATGGCCAGAGTCTAAGATGTGGGCCCGACGTCCGCTGTCAGTTGTATGCCTGTTTGCCTGTTTCGACAAGGAAGGATGGCGGGTGGCGCTAGCTTCTGGTATGCTCGGTAGCTACCCCTGGTGCTTTCAGCGAGATTGCCCAATCCATTGCGACAAGTCGAGCAACCACAGTGACGTGGTGATGAGTGGTCGCGAGGCCCGGAGCCTTGCCCTTCGCATCGGATTTGACCGGCGCCTTCCGCACCGGGGCGCCTTCGACAGTCATGTGTGTAGGGCACATGTACCAGATTGAGGATGATAAAAGCAGCGACAGCAGGGCTGTTGACGTACGCAAAGGCCCGCAGCGAGGCCGACTGCTAGGTTGAACCGGACGGCGCGAGAGACTGGATTCACAACGTCGGGCCCCAGGCTTTTTGATCCGCGTAGATTTTCAGACGTCATCCAGTGCCGATATGGGGAAGGGTGCGAGGGTGCATGCATGGCTTGCAGCAGCCCACCATCGCGTCTATACGCACCCCTCGGCGCGGCACTTGAATCAGCGTATCGTACAGGCCTCTACACGCCAGAGTATCGATTGGCGCTCTCGATGGATCAATACAAAAGCCGAATTGCGATCACTACACAAGTCATTCTATGATGGCGACGTAATAGATTCGCTACTGCCCCGGGAGCTGGCTTTTGAGCGGGACGATTTGCATACGAGTCTCAAAATTGACTGTGGATACCAGCTGCAAGCGCTGTGGCGTTGGAGACCCTCAGCTCAGGGCTGGTCCGCCGCCAGGCCACCACACCCACCTCGCATGCGTTGCGCGCAACGTGCACAGCATGGTTTCTATGCATAATTGGACAGGAAAAGCTTCTTCCGGTACCAGACAGAGAGGGTGCAGGCTCAGTTGAGCAGTGCTATCACATCCAGCGTTCAATCTGTGAGATTTGAACGTTGCCAAAACAAAGAAAGACCGTCTGCCGCCTGTGCTCAGCTGCAGACGCACCCAACACTCATCGCTGGACGAACGGGCCAACAACGACTGCAATTCATCAACATAGCATGCCGTGTCACCATGTGAGCTGAGCATGCTAATGCAAGCAGGACTTGGCGCCTGGCAAATACCATGGAATAATGGCTAGTCAGCACTCATGGTAGTTGAGCTTTCCTGGACGAAAAGGGTGTCTATCCAATTCTTCCGCTCCCTGCGATGCGGCCGAGACGACCTCGGGAGCCATAGTTTCTCCGCTCAGGCTATGTCCATGGGAATTTGCCGCGTGACAGGTTACCGCTCCTGCGAACTGGGTGTTGAGTCCGACAAGCGAAAAGGCCATGCAGTTGCCTCGGCCCCGCATGCAGCTACAAGTGTGCACCCAGTGCGTTTTCATCGCGCCATCGTCCAAGTGGAGATTGGACGTCGATAGCGCCCGGGCCTATCTCTGTGCCACGTTTTCATCACGTGATGAGGCTCTGCGCGAGCCAATAGGAAGACAGTATCACCACTACCCCCGCGAAGAGCTTCGACACCTCGCTATGTCGTTAGATTTCTGTGGGCGGGCGGGCCGATGCGATAAGGCTTCGGCACGGTTGGAAATAGACCATCCGGTGTCTGTTATGTTGCGCCGCGCATTTGCAGCCCATCTGCGCAGCTAGTGCTCACCTGGGCATGGCGGCCCCCGGGGAATCATCACTCTAGCCGCATCAATGGACGGCGCCTTGCCATCGCCATCAAGCCGCTGGCACACAGCATTCCCGCCGCTGTGCAGCTCGTAGGGATTGTCATATTTGTCCCTCGACTTCTGACATGAGGACTTCCCAAATCCCTGACCAGCAGACCAAAGCGCTCTAAACCTGTCTGAGGGATGGGTCTACCTCAAGTGGAGTAGCCAGGTCCCAAGTCTCTGGAAACGCAGTCTGCATAGCCTTCCACGGCTAGCTTACTACGCCTCTTCAGCTGAGAGGGTTGGCACAGGGCAGTTTCTGCTACTGCCCTGGTGCTTTAGAGAGACGGCCAGTCGCACTTGCTCCAAGATCACTTGCCGCAACGGTGGTAGCTGCTATTGCAAGATGAAGGAATATGCCCCGTACCAGGAATGTTCAGCTCTGCAGGGCAACCATTTTATCCGGTGCAGATCACCAGAATCCACACTCATGTGTACCGGGCCCACCTTTGACAGATGACATTGACTAGGAGGGGTGGCGATGCTGGTTCATGCTTCGCCCTTCTTGCGCGCAAAGTCGCTCGGTATAGGAATAAGGAATCGAAACCTTCGCAGCCTCCCTATCGGACACATAAACTCTCTATCTGCAGGGCAGTCAGATCAGGGATCTGTCAGCCGCGAAGCTTGGTAACAAACCCAAACAGTCATCTCGCATGCATATGCAATGATCAGCTTCTGTCCTTCCTTTACGACGATCCAGTACACATCACGCGTGCTCAAGGCATCGACTCTATGACTCCGCCTGCGCGGCGGTGAAAGCTTCACCTGTGGCATATACGTATCATCCGCTATGGCGATTGCTGGTGATTTGGAAGCGGTGGATGCGTTGGCATAATCAGTACGAAGCACGACGTTTATTTTGGTAATCGCACTTCTGACAGCTCCCCATCCCAAGGAGTCGGGAAAACATCAGCCTCAAGGGCCGGCTCAGGCTTTGCGCACCAGTAGCCTATCGGACCAGCTGTGTATATCATTGATCAACGACGGGTACTGTACCGGACCGACTGAACTCAGATGACGGGGAAGACGCGAAAAACAGATCAACCAGAACCCTGCAACGCGGTATAGACGGTACATGTGATCTGTCGTTTGCGCCCTCTTGGGCATGCACGGCCACGGATACAACGGCACCGCAGCGCAAGTGGCAAATGGCAGTCATCTGATGCGCCCTAGTACCGAAAGACGATCAACTGGCGAAGCTTTGTTGGTCTCACTGGCGAAGCTGGGCTCACGGGGCTCGAAGGGCGAGGGTCTGCAAGCGCCGCCACGTGGAACTGCTGCGAGACGTTACCTACCGTGTCGGATGACGAGCGCGCTGCTTTAACACCTGCATCTGGTACCCGACATGGTAGATGGGACGCCTAATCGAGCTCACGCCATTCTTCGTTGTGTTGGCTTTAACCGCACTGGTAGATAACTCCGCAGAGCCGCATGCCTCTTCAATCGTTATCTCCGTTGTCTGCGTTGTCTGCGTTGGCCTACCCCAGATCTTGGAATACTAGGTATGGGGCCCTTACTAGGCTCCAGGCTTCTCACTGGCACGTCAGATTGGGATGTCACAGTGGCCAGATGATTGGTCGCGTACATCCTGATTTACGTTTTGATCATTACACTTCTAGTTACGAAGTTGAAGTTGCGCATATGCGCTGAATTGCATTAAGAGCGCCCCAGCGCAGTAAGAGAACAACCAGTGCGCCCCGAAGAGGGAAAAGAGAAGATGCCGCAAGCAGCTGTCCATACCACCAGGGTAAGAGAGACCCCAGCTCTCGATCTGCACTGCAAGGTATCCATCGTTGCAGTCGATCATCATCGTCGTGACTGGCGCAACTATTTCGTGCGCTTCTTCGGCATTGCGTCCAGGATTCGATGCTTCTTCCACTCGTGTTTGCGGGTCGCATCGGTCCGCTTGTAAGCCTTTTTGCAAACACGGCACGCGGATCCGACTACGACAGAAAGTGGGTTATGAAAGGCAAGGTTATGCCGTCGCAGGTTGCCTTTTCGATACCTGTTGTCAAGTCAATACCTATGCACGAGCGAAATGCGAGAGGGTGAAGCTTACCTGCCTCGAAACGTTTTGCCACACTTATTGCAATGCTCTAGCGGAGCATCATTCCCGTTCTGTTTCAGAACTTCGCAGGATTGAGGATATTGATAATCCTCAAGCTCAACGAAGTTGGTAGGCGGTCCCTGGTTTCCTCCAAAGCGATGGGCGTACTGCAGTGATTCGGGTTGTTGAGATGTGGATTCCTGACGTTTGATGTCTTCATCTTTAGCAGCATCTCGTTCATATCCGCCACGAAAATGCCATTCCTGGTGCTCGGAGAGTTCGTAGGTAGCGAAGCGGATACCGGTGGCGTCATGCCGCTGCGAACGCAGCTCCGGCAAGCACTGGCCTAGTGCAGGTGGTGATTGGACACCGGGAACGTGCGACTCATGGTTTGCAAGACCAAACGGTACCGAAGATCCTAGCGGGCCATCTTGTCGCCCATCAAGACCTTTTGCTGGCTGCTGTGCGATTCCCCGGAAAGACTCCGCGTGACTAGCTTCCAACGAAGGATGACTCCAGTCTGTGTCCATTCGAAACGACCTAGGCAAATTGAAATCGTTGGGTGGGAAACTTTCAAGAGGCGATACGGTGCTAACGGGGCGATTGGCATTCGAATAGAATTGGGCGGAGCAAATGCCGTTGACGTCGGGTGTGACAGGCGACACGGGCGACGGCGACGACTTGTGAGATTGCCGCCCGCTGGCCATACTGGGCGCTGAGACCGAGTGGTACTGGGTGTTCAAAGCCCACAGTAATATTGGCGCGTCGGCATTTGTAGGTGAGCGTCGCACGGGAGTCGCATCGCACTCGTCGGTCTCATTAAGATCTAAGGACGACGCTTGACTCGTGTCAGACTCGAGAGAGTGGTCCTGGGTTCGCTCCATAAGACCTTCCAGCTCAGCGAAGACATGGTCTCCTTCAAGCTCTGGAGCAAGCATAAGCCTGTCTGAAAGCTCGTGGAGCGGCATTGCAGGAAGTTCACATCCGTACGGACATCCATAAGGTGGAGGAGCCTCGTCGTGAACAGCTTCTGCATACTGTTGGGGATCCATCCGGTAAGTTCGTACTGAGGCCCGGCAAAGCTTTCGTAAGAACGTTCGGCACCTGGAGACTGTGGTGCTACTAGGATTCCTTGGATGACTTGGGACTGATGAGCCTTTGGTGTCGTCAACTGGCACGGCGATGGTAGAGCGGCTGCAAGCACATGAACCTGTGCTTGGCGTCGTTGTTTTGTCGGCCAAGCTATGCCGAGATGTCGAGATGCTGGACTCAATTAGTACAGTACACTTCAGCTGAAACACCAGCCACTGATGGGATCTTGGACTCACGTACGTAATGCTCCAGCGACGTTTTGCTTCGATGTGAATGAGCATATTCGGATTGCGGGGGTGATCTCGAAATTATGTGGCAAAGAGCATCCGCAATACTGAAGGACTTTATTGAGTCCAAGTACATGCAGACGTCATGGCCAGGAGGAACCGTGCAAGTTCCTTCAGGACTGCCGACTCCCACCAGGACCGCGCGTTATGAACCGGCGGCGCGACAAATGCCTCCAACCCGGAAGCTCGATGCCATTGGAAGAACAATCCAGGAGCCCGATACACCATGTCGCTGGCAGTGGCCTCGATCTCGAAAGATCAAAAGAAGGCAATAGGTCTGGAGGACACTGCGTCGCACTAAGAAGCCCTGAACTGTAATGTATGTGTACGAGCTTGTGGACAACTCAAGCAACGGCCAAGACTAGAACGCATCCCAGCTTCATCACTATCGGCGTTGAGTGGTTGGGTACAGATGAAACGCTCATCTATTCTTGTTGCCTCAGGCCCTTGGATGTCTCGGGCCATCCAGCTGGCGTAGGTCCATTGGCTACGTCGGCGAGCCTACACATGGCAAGAAAGAAGGCGACGCCAAGCGTTGGTTCCGATGTGGAGGAATAGGGTCGTCGGTCATAGTCGAAAAGGGCTTTACCCTCACCGCAATCCAGAACAAGAGACGGGCAACAAGGATGGCGCTAATCTTCGGAAGGTGAAGCGGGGCTATCCCTGGACACCGGCGGCGAGCGATAGAGTATGCATCCCGGAAGCAGTGTGCCGGCTACTTTGATATGTTGTTCGCTGGCGAGTTCGAGAGTCCGGCAGGAACACGCGGTGTTGTGAGCCAGTTTCCGTGACAGGCGTGGGGGTTAATTGGTCGTCGAAACCGAATTGGTAAAGATGCGGCTCTGTTCGCAAAAACAACGGGGAACAACATCGAGGTTCTGGAAGCGCAAACTTCGTCAAGAAAGTTAGAGGCATAGCTTCAGATATATCCACCTGATATTCGGCCTTCGAAACTGTTTTCACAACAGCACAGCCGCAACGATGGGGCCGACGGATTGCCAATTCAAGAGAGCACTACAGGGCAGAATCTTCAGAATCCGCCTGGGAGTCTGCCTCGAGAGGGAATCTGAGCCACACTGTGGGTGCTCCAGCGACTGCCGACCGGTGAGTCTACCGGCTTTGATAATCGCCAGACGAGCCTGTAGTCTCAACAGATCTCAGACATCGGGAATACGTACTACAAGCTGAGTCACCAATGACGCCGACGCATCAGGCCCCCAGCGAACCAGCATCTTTCCAATTCGCATACTTTGGGTATAGATCGAGGCGCCAATCAACGAAGCGGCGCTTCACAAAACTTTGGTGTGTCCTTCAAGCGACACGTAGTGCTCAACACCAAGCATGGACGGCTGGGCGAAGAGACAAGGGCGCGAGTCAGCTAGAAAGAGGCAGACGGCACGAGCGTTCCCCCTCCAGTTGCAGCCCATGACAAGTGCTAGAGCGATCAGTGCGGTATGCATCTACTTGCACGGTAGCGATTCCCCCATCCGCATGCAGGAGAGCCAACCCAAATCGAGCTCCAGCCCTAACGATATCTAGGCAATGCCAGGGTGGTATCTTACGCGTGTCGCGGGCGGCCTCCAGACGCCATCCATTGCTGCCCGACTGCACACTCTTAGCGCGCAAAGTCCTCCAAACAGAAAGGTGAAGCAAAGCTCGCAAAAGATGCCGAATTGAAGACGAGATCGCGAGAGCTCTTTTGCTACGACGTTCCAACCTTGGCACATCAAAAGCGGGGGAACATGGGACACGTTTTGACGCGCGCTAGTGCGATGCGTTCCGTGCCAATCGCTTGCCAAGATCACGTCACTTCTCGCTCCATCTCATCTCGCTCCCGAGGTCGCGTCAGCCGGAGCCGACGGCCGCAGCAACCAATTTCGGCACACAATGCCTTTGTGCAGGCACAATGCGCGATAAGCATGCAGAAATTTCGGATCTGACCGACAGGTTTCTCGACCTCGATATCGCACGTCAAGACCCAATCAATCCATGGATGCAATCGCACCTTCGACCCGGAAATGGGTCCAGCCTACCGTATAGCGTATGCATCTGACAGATTTCTAACAGGCACGACCCTGCTGGAACAGGTTCAACTCCAACTAGAGCCGCATCAATTGGGACAGGGTCTGCAGCTTACGCCCCGTTCTAGCGGACCGTCCTCCAACCGTATCACCCCCATCGAAGCATCCACCGTGCCCTTCGCCGTGCCCTTCGTGCGCGTCCCTCAAAGTGCCAATGACTGGTGACTCGCACTACAAGACGCTCTCTCCGACTGGCGTTAAGCGCCCATGACAAGTGTGCCCTCTTGTACTTGGGTCCGGTTGCCTTGTAGCCTCAGAGCCGCATCGAAGCTTAATGCGGCTTACGGTCATGTTCCCCACTTTGCTGGCTGTGTGGCATGCCTCCCTCTTAGGCGCAACTGGCACCGCTTCGTTGCTTCTGATCGGTAGGAACGACGCATGCAGGAGGTAAAGCACTCACCTACCGACAGATTAGACAAATGCTCCGCAGCTATAGCAAAGGCGAACCCTGCAGTAAGATCGCCGCCACGCAGAACAACGACACAGATATCTACGGGCTCACACCTCCTTGGTCAATCGCGACAAACTCACATCAAACGCGAGATGAGCTGAATGAGTCCTCAATTTCTGGACGCGCGTCACATCGACGCCTTCACGGAGGACTGAATACTTCATTGCATAAGCGCCTGAGTCCTTCAACGATCAACTGGCTGTTAGAACACCAACGCACGACCGCGCTCATCTCTTGGATATTGGAACCAAGCCGATATTAGCACATGTCTCACTTTCTCCATGCATGCGTTTCCGGTCACCGAGTCCTTCTCGGCGACTAAATTCCGGTGAGTGTAAGCGATGTTGCGAGAAATCGAGATCGGCGTACCGGTGAGTGGTGAGCATGTCAACTTCACGGGCGGACGACTTTGTGAGCAGAATGCGGCTCAACCGAGGTTTGGAAGTCGTTCAGAATAGAGATGGGTGTGGAAGAACGCCGACACATTCACAGCGGTAAAAGCAGGAATCGAAGTTGACTTCGAGAAGCTATAAAATTGAGATTGCATACCAGACGCCAAAACTACCTGCCTGCTAACGCGCTACAAAAAATCGTGTACAAGTACAATGAGACAACGACTGTGCCAGACAGTCTAGATGGAAGGGTAGTCGCGAGCTGAGGGCAACAAAGCCCACCAGCCAACGAGGCTGGAGTGAAAATCCTCCAACATCATCATGCGTGAGAAATAATACACCAAGTGCTGAGATAGTAGGCTGAGGTGAACCCAAGATGACTGCCGAAAAATTGACGCCTGGGGCTGGAACCTCAGCCGGTCGGCCCCCACTCGCCCTCAACAACCATAGACATAAATATGAGGAAACCAATTCTTCTCTCATCCTGTATCGTACCGTCGTGTTGTCGTTCCATCCGATGTTCAGTTACTTCCGTTAAATCGTTGTTGTCCATGTTGATGAGCGTATGGGTCGTACGGCCTATACTCCTCATACACTTCATCCCGATCGAACACCGCACCGTCACGTCTGATGTAGCCGACGGCGTCGTAGGACCCGGAGCGTTGGGGCGCAGTTGAAGCGGAAGGACTACCACCAATGGGAGGCTGGTACGGATCCGGCTGCGCACGGCGCTCCGCCGACGAAGATGCGTGAGGCGGCGGCGATGAGTGGAAGTCGCTCTCTGAGAAATGCCGAGGGTAGATGCGCAGGTGAGAGGACGAGTGAATCGTCTCAGACTGACGTGGACCGTCGTAGGCGCGAGGTTGCTGAACTTGAGATCTTTGAGTGGGAGGTGTGGTGTATGAAGCTTGGTTGCTTCCCGCGCCGTTGGGGTACGTGTGATGGGACCATGATGAGCGTTGCACTTGTGCGTATACGGAATCGTTTCGTGGATCGTAGCCGTTGCTTTGTGTAGATAGAGTAGATGCGCCTCCTCCCGAGGTAAACTGCGTCTTGTTAGCGGCGAGCTTTCACGCATACAATGAGACAATCTTACACTCGTGTACGAGTGACCACGAGAACTGCTGCTACGGCCACCACCGCCATTACGGCCTGACCCGTTGGAGTTACCACCAGAGCGACGCTGTGATCCGCTCATCCTGTCTTGAGTGGTCTAGTTGGATGCGTGAAGACGTTGTGTGTAGCGAGTGACTACTGAAAGCGGAGTCAAGGAAGGGAAGGGATAGCCTAGATCGAGAGATTGCGGCTGAAGGATGCGATCAGGCACAGGGGCGTGTGAGACGTGGATGACTTTCGGCTCAGTCACCTGATGCGTGGCGGGTCAGTTCGATGTTAGATAAAGATGGACGATGAAGGGGTCTGATGGTCACTTGGAGTGTGAGCGTGAAAAGCGGAAGTGAATGAGTGAAGGCGGGCATGAACGTGATTTAAGGAGAGGCGGACACGTCCACTGGGAGTCCTTCTGTTAGCTATTCACTCCAATCCTCACGAATCCGGTTGCCTCAGGCACCCCGGCACCCTGTGCCCTGTGCCCCCGAAGCATGCGGGCCGCGTCCAGAAGGGGCGTGTTACACGCAATTTCTGGCATTCGTTCTCGAGGACTTGTTCAATCAAACCACATGCGTCTGACTCACGATAGCCAGCGGGTCTCGTCCCGCGGGAACGCTAGGTGGAGGCATAGGTTCTCGA